GGGACCCTCCCACGGGTCAGCCCAGCCCTCATCCCCCCCGGACCCTTCTAAGGCCCTGACACCCCCTAACCCTGCTTTGCCTGTGTCCCCCCCTGTCCCGGTCACTCCTGGTCCCCCCAGATCCACCCCCGGGGCACCCCGGGCCCCGATCACACTCTGGGGGGGACCCAGGGGTCCGGCACCCCACGGCCCCTTGGGGCTGGTTTTGCTCCAAGTGCCCCTCGTTCCCGCTGCCCCTCGTTCCCCCATCCTGCTCCTCCTCTCCATCATTCCCAGTGTCTCTCATTCCCAGTGTCCCTCGTTCCTGCTGCCCCTCATTCCCCCCATCCTCCTCCTCCTCTCCATAATTCCTAGTGTCCATCATTCCCAGTGTCCCTCATTCCCAGTGTCCATCATTCCCAGTGTCCATCATTCCTAGTGTCCCTCATTCCCAGTGTCCCTCGTTCCTGCTGCCCCTCGTTCCCCCCATCCTGCTCCTGCTCAGGGCTCCGCTGCCCCCTCTGCCCCCCCGGCCCAGCCCAGCGTGTCCCTGCAGCCCCACAGCTGCAGCACAATCTGTATCACTAAACACGGAGAGGCTCTCGGTGAGCACTCCCACCAGCTCCCTCCACACCCTTGGGTGGATCTCATCCGGCCCCACAGACCTGTGTGCGCCTCGATGGCGCAGCAGGTCACACTGACCAGCAGCTCTTGGACTATGGGGGCTTCAAACTGCTCCTTGTCACTGTCTGCCAGCTCAGGAGATTAGGTTCCCAGGGAACAACTGCTCCTACTCTGAAAGGCAAGAAAGGCGTTCAGCACCTCTGCCTTCTGCTGCCCCCTGATCACTGTATTTCCTCCTGCATCCAATTAGGGACAGAGGTTCTTCTTAGTCCTCCCTTTGTTCTTAATATGTTTATAGATGCAAACTTTAACTGCTGGGACCCCAGTCCCTTGACAGCCCTGGCTCCAGCCCACAGGTGCCCCTTCTCACTCCTCACTCACACACTCACTAGACTAACGAGAACAACCATTTATTCGGGTGGTGCAGCAGGAAATCAGCTCGAGCTGGGTGCCCCTGGAGAGGGACCCCGACAATGACACCCTTCCCATGTCGAGTTCCCTCCCCTCCCCTGCCTGTCGGGCCAACAGTTGCACTGGGCTCTGGAGTCTCCTGGTTCCTCATTGGATCCTCTCTCTGTCTCCGGGTGGGGCTGCTCCTTTTCTTATCCCGAGGAAGCAGATTTCCTGACACGTGTTTACTTCATCTCTCTGGTTTCAGAACCTCCCTTCATGTCAATAAATCACAGTCCAGCAGCACCGAGGTGGGACTTCCCAACTTGCTGCCCCAGGCTGCAGCCAGACTGTGACCTCCACGTTCCTGCCCAAGCTGGGCACTGACCACTATAGCCCCCAAACCAGGGGTGGAGTATCAACCCATTGGAGGAGGCTGGTGGGACAGTCAAGATCTCGGTCCCACTGTTGGAACTGGTGAAAAATTCACCTGCCCCTGGATCCAGTCCGGGCAGACCCAGACTCCCCTGGGGACCAGGAACTGGGACAGGACACTGGGAAGAGGGTCGGGACACACAAAATGTGCTTTCCAGTGCCACACTGCCCAGATCCCACCTTCAGGGCTCAGATCCATTTCCCCCTTCCTCTCCACAGGCTCCCGGGCCACCCCCACAGCCCACCACGGATCAGGGACAACTCCACCTCCTGGTTAAGGTGGTTGGCCCTGACCATGGGGGACAAGTTCCCATCTCCAGTCCCAGCCCATCTTCCATGACAAACAGGATGCTCTAATCAGAAGAACATTTCTGGGAGACCGAGGGCAGCTGCTGTCCACTGGGATCCTTCCTCAGCACCTCTGGTTTGGGGTACCAGCTGACACCCCACCAGGATGCCTCTCTCCTCAGTCTCCAGAGAGAGGTGAGGGTCAGAGTGCGGGGCTGGGGGAAGAGCCCGTGGTTGGGGGATGGTCTCAACCCAAAGGCCAAGAGCCAATCTGAGACCAGACACGTCACAGCATCCACAGGGGCTGTGGGATGAGGGATGGCCCGTGCCCTTCACCCACCAAAACCAGCCCAAGCTGCGCAGGAACTGGAGAGCCTTGGTGCCAAAGGACCACAGATGTCCCGTAACACAGCCTGGCAGAGGCAGACTGAGCTGCTGAGCTCCAGTGCCTCAAGGCAGCGTCTCTGCACCGACCACCTTAGTTCCAGAAGCCCCGCTGCTTCCAGGCAGCGTGCGAGGTGTCCCAGGGACAAAGCCAGGATCCAGCTGCTGGGGCTGGCTCTAGGGAAGGAGGCAATGGTGGGACATGCACAGCTCCTTGCCTTTCCACCCCACGTCCCTTTGCTCTCTCCCAGGGGCCCCAGCACATCCTCACCTGGAAGGCTGGAGTGGGAAAACATCCCATTTTTCCCTGGGGTAAAGAGGGGAATGTGATCCCGCTCCCTATGCCTGGAGCCATCCCAGAGCTGCAGCGCAAGGACGGGCCCTTCCCACAGCCCCAGGAGCTGCTGGACATCATTAAGCAAGGAAAGAAAACGCAAATCTATTTTGTTCCAATTATCTTGCAACAATGGTTAAGAGGATGACCAGAGTGTTGGTGCTGTCAGGGTGCAGAGTCAGGAATGCTGCCAGGGATGGAGAAGAAAGTGGCATTCAGGAGGACATCCCCCCCCAGAAAAGCCCCACTGCAGCTGGGACAAGCCCCAGCATCACACAGCTGCCTCTGGCCTGGGCTGGGCAGCAGAGACATCACCACAGCTTCCTGCTTGGGAAAACCTGGCCTTGTGCTGGGGGCCTGGGCCCTCCTTTGGATCTTCAGGACCCCCAGAGGGAGCTCAGCTCACATTTCCCACCCCCTTTAACCACTGCTTGGGACACAAAGGACTTTGCTGGAGCCCTCCCTTCCGCTCCCTCCTGCCCTCATCGTGTTTTATTTCCTGGGAAAACAGGGGGCTGGCTCTAGGGAAGGAGGCAATGGTGGGACATGCACAGCTCCTTGCCTTTCCACCCCACGTCCCTTTGCTCTCTCCCAGGGGCCCCAGCACATCCTCACCTGGAAGGCTGGAGTGGGAAAACATCCCATTTTTCCCTGGGGTAAAGAGGGGAATGTGATCCCGCTCCCTATGCCTGGAGCCATCCCAGAGCTGCAGCGCAAGGACGGGCCCTTCCCACAGCCCCAGGAGCTGCTGGAAAATACTAAACAGGGGGAAAAAAGTGCCAGTTTATTTTGTTTTGAGCTAGAAGAGAATGTTTCAGAAAACCATTTAAAAAAAAAAGAAAGAAGATGCCAGCCAAAGGTGGACTGGGCAAGGGTGGGGAAAACTCCATCCATCCCACCTCACACCAGTCCTGGGATGCCTCGAAGGACAGACTGAGCCAGGTACTCATGATGTTGGGGTCCAGAGTCACAAATTCTGTCAAAGATGGACAATAAAGTGGTGTTGGAGAGGACATCACCCCCAGAAAAGCCCCGCTCCAGTTGGTACATCTCCACAGCTTCCTCCTTGGAAAAACCTGGCTTCATGTGGGGTGCCTGGGCAGAGCTCCTGTGGATCTACAGGACCCCCAGAGGGAGCTCAGCTCACCACTTCCCACCCCCTTTAAGCATTATTTTGCCTAAAACTGACTTTGCTGGAACCCTCCCTTCTGCTCCCTTTTCCTGGGAAAACAGGAAAACCAGCAGCAGGCTGAGCTGTCCCCTCCCAGAATGGGGGGAACCCCCCCCCATCAACCCACTCGTGCTCCGCAGTACCTGGAAATCCCACCCTTGTCCCTCCGAGGGCGCTGGGACAATTACTTGGGGTCTTTGCGAAAGTGTCCCCGTCGTGCTCTGAACTCTCCCCTCCGCCCACCTGGATGGAAACATTTCCCCTTAGAGCTGGGACTCCGGGACCCCCCCTGCTCCCCCTGCACCCCGGGCGAGCTGGGGGTGGTGCTGAGCTGGCTGTGCCCAGAGGGTCCCTCTGTCCCACCTCGCAGCTGCCAACCAGCTCTGCACAGGAGGGCACTGGGGTCCCTGTTGTCCCGGTGGCCAAGAGCCCGGGTGGGGGGGCCGGGGGGGCAGCTCTCAAGGAAATGGGGGCTGAGGGGGGTGTGAGACACGGGGTGCCCAGGAAATGGGGTCCAGGGGAATGCCGGGAAGAGGGGACCTGGTGCAGGAGAGCTGAGACAGGGTGGGGCCCCGGGGGGTGCTGGCTCCTGGGACAGGGAGGGGGGCATCAGAGGAAGGGAGTTCCCAGCAACCAGGGACGGAAGAGGGTCAGGGATCCTGCTGTCCCGGGAAAGGGGGTACCGGGACGTCCCGGTCTCACCGCCCGTGTCCGCGCTGGGGACATTCTGCATATTCATCAGCGTCGCCACCGCAGTGACCACGATGCCTGCGATTGACGTGCGGAATAACGACTTTAGAACCAATAAGGTTATAAAGAAGGTGTGTTTATTCAGCGCTGGGTGCACGGGGGATCGCTCCTCCACAAGCTGCACACCCTAGGACTATTGGCAAGGTCATTATATGCCACAAAGTAATACATATTCATCTATACTGCTGCATATACATTAGGTGTCCGAGGATAGGGAGGGGTTATTACAATTAATCATTAGCATAGTTGCCCCCCGAGCTCCTCCTTGTTGCACTTGCGCAGTATCTTCTGGTGGTCGTGGGCAGGGGTCTTTGGGATGAAGGCCGTATGTCTTCCTCGCTGTGCACTTTTCACCTCTTGGCATTCCTTCCTGGGGTCTGCACCAGGGTCTTGTCTTCTCTGCAAGTTTCTGTGGGAGCATCCTCCCACACAATACCTTCCCTCACAATTCAGGCCTTATCTATACATTCCAAGCCTTATCTATGCTAAGCAGTGCCATCCTTTTTACTCCTTATGTGTTAGTCCTTTCTACCAAGGTAGGCCATCTGGTTTTCCTCAGATCACGATGGCCCCCAGGCCCAGCAACATGTTCAACTCCATGGGGCTGCTCCGCTCCGCTCTGCTGTGCTGTGCTGAGTCCCGCTGAGTCCTGCTCTGCTCCGCTCTGCACCGGACCGGACCGGATCGGACCTGACAGGACAGGACCAGACAGGACCGGACCAGACCGGACAGGACAGGACAGGACAGGACAGGACAGGACAGGACAGGACCGGACCGGACAGGACAGGACAGGACAGGACAGGACAGGACAGGACAGGACAGGACAGGACCGGACCGGACCGGACAGGACAGGACAGGACAGGACAGGACAGGACAGGACAGGACAGGACCGGACCGGACCGGACAGGACAAGACAGGACAGGACACGACCGGACCGGACCGGACCGGACCGGAGAGGACAGGACAGGACAGGACAGGACCGGAGAGGACGGGACCGGACAGGACAGGACAGGACCGAACCGCTCCGCTCCGCTCCGCCGAGCCCTGCCCAGCCCCTAGTCCCGCCCCCTGCTCCGTGATTGGTCCCTGCACGGCCCGTCAGCCAATGGCAGTCTGACACACGAGCACGTCACCGGGCGCCGGGCAGATCCTTGCTCCGTGGGTTAGAACCCGCACCCGAAGCAGCGGGGGTGGGGGAGCGAACGGGAGGCCTGAGGGGACCCCCGGGGACCCCGCGCCCCATCGGGCACCTCTGGAGCCCCCACGGGGGGCGGAAACCCAAAGCACTGCTGGAGGAAGCGCAGAGTGATGAGGGTCAGGAGAGCCTGGGGGTCCCCGTGAGGGATGGACCGAGTCCTCCCCAGCCATGGGTGGAGGAGAAGGGAAGAAGAAACAGGGTAAGAGGCAGAACAGGGAAAATGTGGGTCTTGTAACAGAAGGAAACAGGAAACCTTATCATGCAGGATATGGAAAAGGCCAACCCCCCTGCTGCAGCAGGAACACCCAGGGCAGGTCACACAGGAACGTGTCCAGATGGGTCTTGGAAATCTCCAGAGAAGGAGCCTCCACAGCCTCCCTGGGCAGCCTGTCCAGGGCTCTGTCACCCTCACAGGACACAAGTTTCTCCTCACGTTGAGGTGGAACTCCCTGTGCTGTCACTTGGTGCCGTTTCCCCTCGTCCTGTCACAGGCAGCACTGAACACAGACGGGCCCGTTCCTGACCCCCACCCTGCAGGGATTTGTGGACATGAATCAGGTCCCCTTTTGGTCTTCTCCAGACTGAACAGCCCCAGGTGTCTCAGCCTTTCCTCCTCAGGCAGGTGTTCCAGCCCCTCCATCATCCCCGCAGCCTCCATCGGACTCTTCCCAGTCTGTCCCTGTCCCTGGGGAACTGGGGAGCCCGGATCCGGACACAGCACTTAGGAATGCAGCAGGTGATAAAGGAGAACCAAAATCAAGAAGACTGAGGGCTAAACCAGTCCCGGGCAGTTGGAGGTGCAGAAGTTGCCATATTTTGCCCTCTAGGTGCGCTTGGCTCGTTATGACGTCATAAAACTGAAAGCGTGCAACCTGCGGAACCGAGTTCTGCCCGGCGCCCGGTGACGTCAGAGGCGTCCCGGCCTGTCATTGGTGGGCGAGCTGTGCCGCGGCCAATCGGCGGGTCTGGGGGCGAGCAGGGGGATGAAGAGCTGGGCGGGTGGTTGCGGGAGCAGAGCGGGGTGATGGGGCCGGTGGCGGCGGGAGCCTTCCTGGCCATCGTGCTGGTGGTGGGGTTACTGGTGAAAGGGGAGATCTGTGCCAAGGCGGACTTGGGCGGTGAGAGCAAGCGGGGACCCGGGACCCCCCTGAGCCCCCTTTCCCGGGGCACCGGGATTCCTCCTCCCTTGATCCCCCTTCCGTTCCTGGTCCCTCCCCTGAGCACCCCCGCCCCCCCCTTTCGAACCTCTGCCCCCCCC